GTGGCCTACAAATGGGCTTTGGGTCTCCACTCCGCAATCCCCCGCCCTCATTCACTATATGATTTTTTATTCGGATAATGCCTGATACCTGATCCCTTCAACACCTCGTGATCACACAGGCTGGTGTGCTTCTTCCATGTGGGTTTTGTTGCTTCTGAGCTAGATGGCCACTTTTTACCTTCAAGCCTTTAAGACCCCAGACGCTGTATCTTTTGGTAGACGGGCACCATCAGCTTTCTTTGCCACATTTGCTTATGCACCCATTTGTCTTCAGCGATCGCGTCAGGGAGGTGAGCACACAATGATATGATTTTTCTCTCTCACTCTATTGTTAATGTAAGTGGCAAGGACACTGAAGAAGTCACTGGAGAGGGCCACATGGAGAGGAACCAAGGTCTTCTATCACAATACAGACCTCTGCCATGTGAGTGGGTAATCTTGGAAGCAGAAGTTCTCTAACCTCAGTCAAACCTGGTTAATACCCTGGTCGATACCTGATTGTAAGCTTGTGAGAGGTCAAACCATAATCACTCAGGCAACCTGCTCCCAGATTCCCAAACCACAGAAAATGTGAGAGATCATAAATGCTTATTGTTGTTAAGCCACTAAGTTTGGGGGCAATTTGTTACACAGCAATAGATAACTAACAGTAACCTGGGAGAATATAAGCATTGTTTTATACGCAAACTCAATGGATTTCCTTCATGATAGCTCAGAGAGATCTTGTTATAGTCATGTATCACTTGTCAGAAAGAATGTGAAAATGTGTAGTCTTCCAGAGAACACAGCCATAACATGGACAATTAATGGGTGGGTACACATAAAAGCTCAGAGATCACAATATACATAATATAAATATTAGGGCTTGATACAGAACAATATTGTAATATAATATTTTTGAAAGGTCCATTTGATTTTCAAAATAGGAGAAATAGTCAATAAACACTAAAACATTAAGAGAATTTTTCAGTAATAATTAACAGTGCTTTTTTTTATCTTTTCTTTTGTGTTATCTTTTCTTCATTATTAGTGTACTAATGTACTATTTATGTTGCCTTTTAAAAAACCTTTTATAACCAAATTAGGTGAGCGATTATCTTTCCCGTGTTTCTATCCCTGACACTTCAACATAATGAGCAGCACATGGTAGGTACTTAAGGAAAGTATAAAGAATTCATAACAGCATAAAGAATTCTTCCAGATATAGATCCTACTTATTGGGCAGCAGTTCCATGAAGGGAATCCAGCATCATCTGAGTCCAGAAAGCTCAATGTTGTGAAAAGTCAGCAATCGATTTTCACAGGAGATAGGCTACTAATTATAGGAAATCATTTCAAAGCTGTATTCTCAGGGCAGAGTAAATATGTTCTCTTTGAAACGAAGTATTTTGAGTGATTTCTTATAAATGTATAATGACAGTTGGGAACACCTTTTTTGTTTTTTGGCATGAGAGCAGAGTCTGTTGATTGCCCTGGTGCTTACAATAGTTTCTAAGTGTCCTCACAATAGCATGTCACCTGTAAACAGGTTTCAAGCCGATGCAAATTAACAAATGGTGAACAGATGGACTGAGAACTGACTTTTGTCAAGAGAGAGTTCGCAACATACACTTTTTGGCTCCAGTCTTAGGGGACCATTAGAAAGCCTTTCACTTCTCACCAAACCTCTTGCCTCAGTGGACAATCCATGCCGGGAAAGTGACAAGTTACAAGGCCCATTAGACTTGAGCGAGCTAGAAGCTGGGATATGCAGAATCACCAAATCAACACACAAGAAACAACAGACGGAATAATGTTCCTCAGCGTGTTGTATGTTAAATAGCGAGACCCTCTGGTTCTTACATCACTAAGAGCAGCTGTTCCTGTCGTCTCTGAGAAAGACTGTACCTGTGCATGCAGCACACATGAAAATAACGGCTGCGGGCTGGTCAGGTCTGTTGATTTTATCTTGGAAGCAAATGTTAACTATGAAGGAAACTGGAAAATCACAGAGATAGTGGTCTAATAGTGTTCACCGGCAAGGGAAGACACCAGAGGAGTCACTACCGGAATACCCATCCCCTAGCTCCTTCAAGGGACTAGCTCTTCATTCTCAAGTCCCTGCCTAACGTTGTATCCTTAGATACCGTCTTTGATTGCCCTATTGAAACAATTTCTCCTATTCCCTGCCAACCTATTTCTTTCCTACCACCAATCGTCGCCTGACTGTTAATGGTTGTAAAATTATTTTATCAGTGTAGGCAAACTATTTCATGAGCTTGAGACAATGTCTGTTTTGGTCACGACTACACGGCCAGAGTCTCAAGCAGTGCTTGGCACAAAGCAGGTGCACAATAAATACTAGCTAGCCAAACAAAATAAAATGAGAGCTCTTGATCAAAGGCACACGATTTGGTTTTACCTGCAAATATTCCTCAAGACTGGAAGCTTTTCAATGTAGTTCACAACAGAAGAGTAGGGCAGACTATGGAGTAAGTTTAAAGTCCGACTCCAGCTTTGGGGGAGTACTGCCCCACTGAGGGAGGTACACAAATTGATACACAAGTTGCCAGCAAGAAAAGGCACTTTCACAGTTCTGAGTCCGCATCACTGAGTGAATCAACAAGCAAATGGACAAAAAGCATTTGGGGCATATTCAAAGGAATACGACGCAGCAACAAACAGAACCATCTAGATGACTCTAACCCATTTGGTTGAGAGAAACAAACAAACAAAGGCAACATGACTAGTTACCTATGAGATGGTTCAATTTAGAGGGGCTCTAGTGGAGTAGTGGTTACACATTAGAATGCTAACCCCAAGGTCAGCAGTTCAAAACCACCGGCCACTCCTTGGGAGAAAGGCAGGGCTTTTTACTCCCATAAAGTGTTACTGTTTTGGAAACTCTACCCTGGGCAGTTCCACCCTGTCCCATAGGGCTGCTGAGTCAGCATCAGCTCGATGGCAGTAAGTTTGGTTTGAAGAATATATTTAGATGATGTCAAAGAAGAGGCAAAATTGTTTTTTAAGATACACTTGGGAAGCGGGAAGAACAGGTACAGACTAGGAAAATAATGAGAAATCCTTGCGTGAAACTGGAAGTGTTATGAATCTTGATCTGGGTGGTACTACATGGGTGTGTATATGTGTGAAAACTTCTTCAATCTACACACTAGATGAACTTTGTCATATTGGTTATCCTGACAATGGCGGTGGTGGTAAAGGGAAAACATAAGCATTATCATTTAAAGAGAAAAAAACTGAGCTCACACTCCCGTAATCCACCAGATTCTGCAGGTGGTCTACAGCTTGTTAAAATGTGTTCCTCAGCTGGCTCATTTGTAAAATAAGAAAGACTGCCCTTTTGTTCTGCCAACTTTGAGAATGTGGTAAGTAAACAAATAAGATCGGAGGTACCTTAAAATCCTAGATGGAAAAGTCTCGTGTAAAAGATGAACTGCACGATACCCACACCTCAAAGATAGATGCCAAATAGTTCATGCTTGGTTTTTCATTCTAAGTTACCTTATTAAGAGAATAAAACAATTTCACAAGTCAAATAGCCTTCCAGTGGCTAGAAATCAGTACAGAGTATAGAGTTCAGCCTGGGCAAAGGTCCTTTTTCAAACCCATTACTCACTGAGGCGGTAAGACAAGCGTCGTAGGTTGAGCCTTTGGTCTACGCTTAGCAGATACGCCCATCTGGTTTGCAGAACGTTTCAGGGACTGCTGATTCAAAAGGCCCGATGCCAGCCCTGCATGGTACTGCAACTGTGGAGAAAAATACAGAGGGGTTGAGATAAAAATTAGCAAAAGGAGGGCAGGGGGTATTAAATAATTTCAAACATAGCTGCTAGCATTCGACTTCAAAGGATCTACTAAGAAGAAGAATCAAACAAAAGGGGGGGAAACACGAATATGGTTGTTCATTGCTGCATGGCATAATAATGAAAAACTGAAAGCAATCCACTAAGTAGCCAGGGATGAGTAAGACATCAGTTAAAATATGGAAAGAACTTTATACCAGGCACTTTGTGGTGTAAATAGATGGCTTACTGAACTGGGTAGAGAACTTAATTCCATTTTCATTTCCATGAGTTGGAATACTATGGAGGTAAGGAGGCCAATTGATTTAAATGGGCTTGAGTTTGCTGCCAGACAAACTTCTGAGACTAGGTTGCACAAGACAGATCCTTCTACTCCTCTATCCTTCAAGTGGTCTGTAGGTTAAGAAACTGAGACTGTCTAGTTCCAGATGCAACAGGGCTCTTTAATAAATTCTTCTCACTGAGCTGTATGTAATTTGCATAAAATAAAAAGTACACATTTTAAGAGGACAGTTTGGTGAGTTCTGCTTAGATAACTGCCTCCGCAGTCAAGGTATAGAAAACTGCTCTTGCTGGAGACAGTCCTCTTGTGCCCCCCACCCCCAAGTCAATCTCTCTACCCCCTGCCATCAGGATCTTTCTTTTCAAAAACAACCCATCATCCTCACTCATTGCCAAATGAAGCTTAGATCCAATATGATGTGTGACAATGACTCTTACCTTCCTTATTTAATCCCCCCTTTTTAATTTTAGATAGAGTTGTCATAAATCTCTCTAAAATAAAATCATCCTTGAAAGGTATCCCAATTTTGAACAGATGAAAATAAAACATGCAAATGTGAAAATGCCAACCTAAGAATTTGGATTGAGACCATTTATAACATCCAATATGTTTCTTCCTCTCTTCTCAAATTAAGCAAGGTCTTTCAAACATTTATCTAGAATTAACTAAAAATACAAATAGTAATTCATTATGAAGCACAGAATCCATTTCTTTTCAAAATGCTCTTTTTCAAGGCAGAGACTTCTTGTGCCGAGTCAGCTGCATAAAGGCTCACGGTAATGAAACTGGTGAGCACCATATAAAAAGGCTGGGGGCAAAGGCTAAGATGGGCCTGAAAGTTAAATGGTCTCACCTAAAGCCATTGGGCCGGCCACCCATAAATCAGAGTGAAGGAAACAAAAACCACTTGAAAATGGCCATAAAAAGAAGGATACCCGGTGACCCAGAAGACGGAAATGTTTGTGTCTGGAGCACCCACACTGCTTTTTAACAGGCTCTTGATTTACTCGGTGGACCTGCTGTGGGAGCCTGATGGCTGCACAACACAAGGCAAAGATATGTCACATTCATAACAAAAACAAACCAAACGGAGCTTTTCTCCAAGTGGGAAGGGGAGGGCAAAACTTAGCTCTAATAACTCATCTTAGACCAATGAATTTTGCTCAAATTTGTTTTTCTCCTACAGATTTCTTCAATGGGAAATCAATGGAAACAAGGGATTGTACAAGTTTGAAAGACAATGTTTCAAAATGTCAGCTACTTGGATTTCGATCTTCCCCACCAGAATTTGCAATGAGTGCAATATGCATGGAGCTTTATGGAATTAAAGGGGAAGACAGCTTGGCAGAAGCCCTGTCCTGGCTCAAGGAATAGTCTCTCCTTCTTCTTTGTATTTTATTAGAGTCCATGCAAGCTCAGCCATTCCAGCCCTGCTGACTCTTGGAGTGAAGGAGTCCTGCTAATGATGCAGGGTGGCAGGGTGATTTTGCCCACCTCGCATCATTTTGATCACTTGATTTTGATCACCTCGCACCAACAATCAAAACATGCACACACACAAAACAAAACAGCAGAAGTCACGCTAACTACTGTCTGGTCTTTAAAGGTCTTCTTTTTTCCCAGTCTTTGCTCTTCTCGGATGCTCTCCACGTACATTGCACCTTTAAGAGCACATGCGGGTGGTAGGACTCCTATTCCCCCAAACACAATCTGTCCTTGAAAACTGACTCATAATGATTAAGCAACATTTGTTAATCATATATGGTATGCATACCCCAGTTTCCTGGAACACAGCTCCAACTGTCAAGATCTATAAGGGGCCCATTAAATATTTACCAAACCATCTTTATAATGGGAGAAAGGGTCAACGTTAATAAAACTGACAGGCAGCTCCTGTCCAACTGGATTTATACATTATTTAAGCACCAAATACTCCATTCCATGAAACACAATTTTGATCTGAAAAGACTCTTAGAAAATAAAACATTCACTCAGCCAATGGTTCTAAAACAGCAGAAGGGAGTTCGGAGAGAATCCACAAATTAACATTAAGAATACATCACGCCCAAAATACTGCCATAAGTTTTCAATTACAGGTTCTGTAATATTTTCTACAAAAATACATTTCAATAAACATACTTCTCTCCAAATGTCTGTGGCACAGAAACAACGCTATTTCAAAATGCAACTTATCAAAAGTTCTAATGTGATTCCTCTATCCAAGATCATTTCCCCACTTACCAACCAGAATAAATGGAAGAAGTAAAACAATCTATTCTTTCAACATCCACATATTACAACTAGGGGGAATGAGAGTGTTTACGTGGGGAGTGGAGGTGGGAGGTAGCTTTTGTTTGCTGGGAAGTGTCACTTGGTAGCAATAGCTATTTCAATGTTCTCTGGATTTCTGAGAACAATGTTCTCTATTCCAATTCTGCTATTCATTTCAGCCTTCTACTTTCTATGAACAGCCTAAGATTTTTTTCTGTCAGTTCTCAATTTAAAGCTCTTTCTAATAAATTATGCCTACTAATTACCTCTTGCTGTTGTCTGTCTTCAATTCAGTTGACTCTTATGACAGAGAAGGCTGCCTATAGCATTTCCTCCAGGCTGTCCTTTTTACGAAGAAGCCCTGGTAGCTTACTAAGGTCAGCAGTTCAAAACCACCAGGTGCTCCTCCGGAGACAGAGGAGGTTTTCTACTCCCATTAAGAGTTAAGAGTCTCGGGGGGAGACATCAGACAGTGTAACTTATGACAAAACTATAATAAGTTATGAATTATTAAGGGTTCATGAGGGAGGAAGGAGTGGGGAGGGAGGGGGAAAATGAGCAACTGATATTAAGGGCTAAAGTGGAAGGCAAATGTCTTGAGAATGATGAGGGCAACAAATGCACAAATGTGCTTGACACAATGGATGGATGTATGGATTGTGATAAGTGTACGAGCCCCCAATAAAATAATTTTTTAAAAAAAAGAGCTAAGCGTCTCAGAAACTCACAGGGGCAGCTAGCTCTACCCTGGATGGTCAGAATCGACCCGACGGCAGTAAGTTTGGTCTGGGTTTAGTTCTCTTTATAGGAACAGACTGCCAGGTCTTTTCTCTCACAGGGCGCTGGATGGGCCCAACACGCCCAACGATTCAGTTAGCAGCCACCAGGGCTCCCTCCTCACTCCGTCTTTACAGACATGCCTCAGAGGCTGGGCTCCAGAAGCATCGCAACGAAGTGAGGCGCAGCAACTTTGCGGTTACCCAGTGCATTAAAAGGTTTGAAATACTGTGAGAACTGTCCAAGTGAGACAGAGATTCAAAGAGGGCACATGCTGTAGGAAAGGGGTGCCAACAGACATCCTGGGTGTGGGGCTGCCCGTTTGGCAGCATTTTACACACACGCACTTGTAAAATACACAATGTCTCGGAAGCACAGTGAAACACGCTATGTTTGTACTTGGGAATATTTCAACAATTCTTAATGATTTGGGGGAAAGACCAATTAGAATTGGAGAATCCTTGATTTACTTGATAATGTTTAAAGTAATGCCGTTATAGACATATTAAACAAGCAAGAACCTCCCCATGCTGTCACACAGGGCCCTTGTAAATTTAATTAGCCTAGATTAAGAGTGTCTCCTAAGAGTCTTATTGGAAATGTGCTCCTGGGATCTACTGCTAGCTAACAGGGGCTACATGGTCCTAGGTATTTCCTTTCCTCCTCTGATAAACAAGAACCGTTCTAGCTCAAACTGTGATGTTTCTACAGAAAGCACAAGTGGTGAGGGGAAAGTATCTTAAGGAGGTGAAGTAATGTCCTTACAATAACCATAAAATAAGCTTAACAAACCTTTTCCCTATAGATAGCTTATATCTTGACAAAATCTGCTTTTAAAGTAGCTCAAACTATTGGAATCCAAATGCAATGAGCTTTCATCTGCTCAAGGAGCCCTGGTGCTGTAGTGGTTATGCATGGGGCTGCTAACTGTAAGGTCCGCAGTTTGAAACCATCAGTCATTCTTTGGGATAAAGATGAGGCTCTCTATTCTTGTAAACACAGAAAAACACAGGGACAATTCTACTCTGTCCAACAGGGTAGCTGTGAGTTGGAATCGACTTGACAGCAGTCGATTTTTAGTTTTGGTTTAGCATGCTCTAAATTACAAATAATAAAACATAAAAACTCAAAAATACTCACTGCCATCAAGTCAATGCTGACTCATCGTGACCCACTGTGGGTTTACAAGACAGTAACTATTTATGGCAGTATAAAGCCCAGTCTTTCTCCTGAGGAGCTGCTGCTGGTGGTTTTGAATTGCCAACCATGAGGATCGCAGCCCAATGCATAACCACTACACTACCAGGCTCCATAGCACATTTACTGGAACTAGTTAAATGAAAGGCAGTGATAAAAATAGGGTTCAAATGCAAAATTTCTGATTTAAATAGTGAGTTCGAAAAACCAGATGAGCCCTCCACATTATGGTGAGTGCTTCTAAACCCAGCCAAACCTAAGGCACCACTGGAGAGGATTCCCACTCACAGCCACCCTGTAGGAAAAGGCAGAACCTCACTGGGTTTCCAAGGGCTTAGGGAAGCAGATGGCCGCGGCTATCTTTCTTGAGCTGAGCAGCAGAGGGGATTCAAACGCCAATCTTCCAGCAAGCAGCT